TCAGGTGGGGCTTGCTCCAGGCCCTCTCCATCCCCAGGAGCACGAGTGCCTCCTCTTTCCTTCTCCCTGCCTCCTGGACGCCGGCTCCAGGCTCAGGCTGGTCTGGATTTATACTGTCCTCTCACTTCCTGTCTCCTACCCTACACCCAGCTGGATACTTGCCTGAGGTGGAGGCTGGCCTAGGGGTGGTTGTGTGACAGCTGGTGGACAGGGCCTGTACCTCTGAAGGGTGTCGCCTCTGTGCCACCATCCTACCCCTTCGTGGAAGGGGCATAAACCGGCACTGATGTCAGCCAGAGTCGGCGCAGGCTCTCCTGGTGGAGGTGGGTGGCCACCTGCTTAGTCTTGCTGCCCAGAGCAGGGGCATGATCGGTGGCATGAGTGGCCGGACAGGTTGTGCTGCATCCTTCCGCAGTTCACTGGAGGGTGAGTCGTGACTGGCCTGAGGCGGCCTCCTCTACACCAGGGCCTGGGTGGCTCCAAGGGTCATTAGCCCTCCAAGGTGCGGGAGGAGTGCCCACCCAGAGCTCTTGTGTTGGGAGCGGGGGGAGGCCTGGTGTGTCCTGCAGCACGTAGGGTCCTGCCCAGAGGTCACCGGCCTGTGTTGGGTGCCCACCATGGCCTGTCCTCGTGCTTCCTGGGGGCCATTCCCTGCACCGTCACACAGCCAGTGAGCCATGCTCTCACCCCCTCCCATTTTAAAGATGAGGAAATGGATGCCCTGGCCAGTGTGGCTTCGTTGGTTGGGCGTCGTCCTGTGCACCGGAAGGTCATGGGTTCGAATCCCAGTCAGAGCACATGCCCGGGTTTCAGGTTCCATCGCCCAGTGGGGGCATGTATGGGAGGCAGCTGGTTGATGTCTTCTCTCTCTCCCTACCCCTCTCTCCCTCTCAAAACAAAACAAAACAAAACAAATCAGTAAAGCATAACCTCAGGTGAGGATTTAAAAAAAGATGAGGAAATGGAGGTCCAGGGAGGTTGAGGAGCCTCCCAAGTCGTGGAGCTAGGACGGGGAAGAGCTGGGACCTGGAGAGGGGCTGTCTCTGCAAGACCCGAGCCCCTGCACAGCCCTCCAGGAGCAGGGCTGGGAGCGGCCCTGCAGCCTGCCCTGTGAGGGAGCTTTGCAGAGGATGGCTTCGGCCCGGCTGAGACACGCTCTGCAGGGAGCACCTCCTGCCCCCAGCGGATCCTGCTCCTGCCACTCTCCGCCGCTGTCTGCCAGAGCACAGGCTTGGAGCCGGCGGCCCTGGGCCTGCAGGCTCACCCAGACTAGCCTTGGGGCGTGGGCACGGCACAGCCTCTCGGCCTCATCTGCACACCTGCATGGCGCTTTGTGCCGGCTAAAGGAGTGAATGCGTGTCAGATGCTTCGAGCAGAGCCTGCCTGGGTGGGTGGGATGTTTCACCCACCAGCCCCGCCTCGGGGAGTGCCCGTTGTTCCAGTGCGCTCTGCCGGGGCAGCACACAGACACACGCGTGCACACGCGCACACATTCACACGTGCACACATTCACACACACTCTCCGGGGCACACTCAACAGCACACAAAGGCAGAGGAGGAGGGCGGGTCCAAACTCAGTCTCCACCACCAGGGGGTGCTGCTTCCCAGCTCCTGGAGGAGGAGAGGGGAGGGGCTGCCGGCAGGGGCCAGGAGAGCCTGGCCACTGGCTGCCTGTCACCACCTGGGGCCACAGGCCCTGCGGTCACTGGTCAAACGTGGTTCATCCTGAAGGCCGGCGCCACTCAGAGGGCGTGGCTTTGAGACTCGCTTTCCCTTTGGGCCTCCTACTGCCCCCTCACAGGGGTGGTGTGAGGATTCCCATGAGTCTGTGCAGACACCCTTGCCCTAGGCCTCTGGTTCCCTGAATGTCATGGGTGATGATGTCTCTCCCCAGCTGGCCTCTCTGGGGCCCAGAGGAGAGGATGGGGCTCTGAGGACCAGGGCGGGGCCAGGCCTCACCTTGCGCACCACTCCCGAGGTGACCGCGATGTTCTCCGCCTCCTCCACGGTCTTGGTGGCCACGGTGTTGACGCTGCTGACCACCGCGTCACTCACAGCATTGGCCTGCTCCTTGGTCTTCTCAGCCACTGTGGGAGGACTCTGGCTGGCGGTGGCCCTGACCCCTCCCACCAGGGCCAGCCTGCCCCAGGCAGGCCTGAGCCCCCCTTTCCCAGGGCACTCAAGCCTCTGGTTCTACCCAAGAACGGAGGCTGCCCCTGCCCGGTGCCAGGGGGACTCTGATGACTGGGCGGCCAACCCTGGGTTCTGAGGGGTCTGGGTCTGTGTACAGCTCAGGACCCCAGTTGGGAGTAAGGAGGACCCTGAGCTTGGGCCTTTAGTACCAGGGTGCAGAAGTCCCTGGAGGCCCCAGCCCCGTCATCCCATAGTCCTGGGGCTCCTCACCTGAGGTCACGCTCTGCACGACACCCTCCTTGGTCTTGGCTCCTGGAGAGGAAATGGAGGCATCAGCCCAGACCCACTCCTCCTAGTGTTGGGGGTGCAGCTGTGAGGGCAACAGAACAGCCGGACAAGCTGTGGGGTCAGTAGTGGGTGAGGACGGTGTCTGGAGACCAGCAGTCCCTTTAAAGGCTGCTTCCTGCTGTGTCTGGGGGAGGGGGTCAGATGGGAGTGGACAGGACAGGATGGCGGATGAGAGAGACCAGGCCTGAGGGGGGTCTGGGCCCTGCCTGGGTGTGGCCTGGGCCTGGGAAGCTGCAGCAGGACCGGCTGCTGACCAGAGCTGAGTCATCAGCTCTGCCTCCTCTTCCCCGGAGGGAGCGAGGAGGCGGGGCTGGGTCTTGGCTCCTCAGTCCCACCCCTTCCCCTGAGGAGGTGGAGGCCTGTGGCAGGGTCTTGGGCTCCGTGTGGCTTCTTCCCGAGCCCAAGGGCCCGTGTGATGGGGAGCAGGGGCTTGTGTCCGTGCACGTGCACACAAACAGGTGTGTCTCAGAGCTGCGCATCCCTCTTGCTGTCCTGACCCAAAGGCTCCTGGGGCCCCGAGGAAGACCAAATGGACCCTGGGGTGGCAGGAGAGGGGGTGCTTCAGGGCCCGGAGACCTGATGCTACAGCCAGGTCCTCATCCTCTCAGTAACCGGGCATCCCAGGCTCCAGCCCCCGAGCTGCTCCGCCCAAACTCACCCACATACATGACACCCTCCTTGGTCTTCTCAGCCGCTTCCGTCACCCCCTGCTTGGTCTTCTCCACGGCACCCACCACGCCCTCCTTGGCGATGGAGAAGCCCTTCTTGAAGACGTCCATGGCGGTGGCAGGAACAGAGCCGGCTCTGCTGCAGGCTGTGCTGGAGCTGGCAGTGCTGCCGCAGCCGCTGTCCCCGCTGCCGCCGCCTCTTATTGACGCCAATGAAATATTGATGATGCAGCCGCTGGCCTATGGAAGCCCAGCCAGTCTAGGGGTGGGACGGGGGGAGGGAGAG